GGGGGGGGGGGGGGGAGGATCAGAGGCTGGATGAGTCGATGGTTATGGAGAGCAGACAGAAGAGCAATCCCCTCAAAGCGCTGTACCCACAGCGGTCACGCGAGGCCGGCCGGTGCGTTGTTGTTGTGTCGTCATTTTTTTTTCTTCTTCTGTGTGTATTTCTGTTGTTTCTGGCCAAACACCACACACCGCAGTGTTCTTCGTTTTCGGCGTGTACACTGCGTTGTCCTGTACCATACAGCATGTGTCATTCGCACTCTTGTTTTGCAGTCATGTGTACGAGCAAGACTGGTCCTCCTTTCTGTAGGACCCATGCGGGTCTGCCGTGTGCCATGGCGGCGCCCAAGGGAGTATATTGTGTCCGCTTTTTTGCCCAGCTTTTTATTTTTCTCGAACACGTGGGCGTCTTGATTGAATCTTGTTTTTCGATCGGAAATGGACATGTTGGGACGCAGTTTCATTTTGTGTGCAGCAGCACGCTGCTGCGAGAACGATTTCATTTTTCATATGTGGCGGCAGGTTATGGATGCTTTTGCACGACTTGGGAGTTCGGGTCAACTACTGTGTCACATTTTTGTGTGTGGGATTCTACCCTGCACATTTTTGCCTTTTCTTTTCTGAATTATTTTTTGTTGCCGTGGTCAGCCCGCCGGGTAGTCTATGCGTCGTGGGCTCCTTCCCGCATGTTGTCGTGACACCAGCTGCCAAGCTGTCTTCACTTGATCGTGGCGCAGGAAGGCAGTCGTAGCGATTTGGAGGCACGGGCGGTGTCGGCAGAGGGCCAGGCTTTACGTTTGGGCGCGTTGAAGTCGGAGGAAGGAGTTAGGACGCGGGTACCGAACGCGCCACCACTCAAGAACCTCTTTTTGTCTATGGGGTAGACTACCCCCACGGTGACTCTTCAGGTTCTAGTGTAGGCTTCTTGGCGTAGCACCTGTTTGCCTGTTCTTGTGGCCAAGCTCTTAGGTTTTGGCCATTTTTTTTTGTAGGCTTAGGTTCAAACCGTAAGTTCGTTCTCTCGTGGAGCGCTCCGAATGTACGGAGCTCGATGGTGGAGGGCGGACGGGATGCTCGGCGATGTCGCATCTTCTCCTCAGTATGGTAGGAGCGGCACACGGATGGACTACAGCAGTTCCGGAGGCGACGATGATGACTACGGCAACGACACCCTGATTCATAGCGGCGACAGCAACGAAGACGGCGACGACAGCGAATAAATTTTCGCGGCGCCCCTGTTGTAACGTTTATGTTATATTTTTCGCTGCTGTTTGTTGTGTTCGCTCATGGACGGACCCTCATGGGTCTCGTCTTTTCGCGACCATCTCGCCTTCATCCCCGTCTTGGCCTTACGGTCTTGTTTTTCTTGAGAAGATAATACGTACCGTTTTGTCTAAGAAAGACTGCCCATTCAAGATGATACCCCGTTCGAAGGCATGCGTTGTTTTTTTCAGCGAGGATGTACGTGAACAATTGTAGAGGTCTACTCCACTTTTATGTCCGTTTTGGCGGAAGTTTCCACAGCCAGTAGTAGTACCACGGTAGTAAGCTTTCATGGGAGCACGAGTGTTACTTTCGTGGAAGCTTCCACGGAAGCAATGGAAGCCTGGGTGGAAGGTCATGAAAGTGATGGAACCTCCCGTTACACTTCGATTTTGCCAGTTTACATGAGGTTACCGGTGGAACCGTGGCCAGACTCCCGCACAATCCGACAGTACTGACGCAAGTGGTGGTCTGGTGGAGCAGGTGCTTGACGATGACCTTGGTCGATCTCGCTCAG